TGTACTTCGCAGATGTTCGGTAAAAAAAGTTGTATTTTCAAACTGCGAATACGTGCAGAGAGCCAGAATTTGGCTCCAAAATATGGCTCAGGCCTCGAAATTGGGATGTTTGAGATATTTTGAAAACTGCAGGGGGGTTTGGGCAAAATATGACCCACTGCCGCTTTTTTTTACCGAACATCTTGGCATATGTTCGGTAAAAAAAAGTCGTAATTTCAAACTGCGAATATGTGCAGAGAGCCAGAATTTGGCTTCAAAATATGGCTCAGGCCTCGAAATTTGGATGTTTGAGATATTTTGAAAACTGCAGGGGGGTTTGGGCAAAATATGACCCACCGCCGCTTTCAGTAATTGGCATGTGTTCGGTAAAATATTTTGTAATTTCAAACTGCGAATACGTGCAGAGAGCCAGAATTTGGCTCAAAAATATGGCTCAGGCCTCGAAATTGGGATGTTTGGGATATTTTGAAAACTGCTGGGGAGTTTGGGCAAAATATGACCCACCGCCACATTCAGTACTTGGCATATGTTCAGTAAAAAAATTCGTAATTTCAAACTTCGAATACGTGCAGAGAGCCAGAATTTGGCTCCAAAATATGGCTCAGGCCTCGAAATTGGGATGTTTGAGATATTTTGAAAACTGCAGGGGGGTTTGGGCAAAATATGACCCACCGCCGCTTTCAGTAATTGGCATGTGTTCGGTAAAAAATTTCGTAATTTCAAACTGCGAATACGTGCAGAGAGCCAGAATTTGGCTCCAAAATATGGCTCAGGCCTCGAAATTGGGATGTTTGAGATATTTTGAAAACTGCAGGGGGGTTTGGGCAAAATATGACCCACTGCCGCTTTCAGTACTTGGCATATGTTCGGTAAAAAAAAGTCGTAATTTCAAACTGCGAATACGTGCAGAGAGCCAGAATTTGGCTCCAAAATATGGCTCAGGCCTCGAAATTGGGATGTTTGAGATATTTTGAAAACTGCAGGGGGGTTTGGGCAAAATATGTCCCACTGCCGCGTTTAGTACTTTACATATGTTCGGTAAAAAATTTCGTAATTTCAAACTGCGAATACGTGCAGAGAGCCAGAATTTGGCTCAAAAATATCGCTCAGGCCTCAAAATTGGGATGTTTGAGATATTTTGAGAACTGCAGGGGGGTTTGGGCAAAGTATGACCCACCGCCGCTTTCAGTAATTGGCATGTGTTCGGTAAAAAATTTTGTAATTTCAAACTGCGAATACGTGCAGAGAGCCAGAATTTGGCTCCAAAATATGGCTCAGGCCTCGAAATTGGGATGTTTGGGATATTTTGAAAACTGCTGGGGGGTTTGGGCAAAATATGACCCACCGCCGCTTTCAGTAATTGGCATGTGTTCGGTAAAAAATTTCGTAATTTCAAACTGCGAATACGTGCAGAGAGCCAGAATTTGGCTCAAAAAAATGGCTCAAGCCTCGAAATTGGGATGTTTGGGATATTTTGAAAACTGCTGGGGGGTTTAGGGAAAATATGACCCACTGCCGCTTTCAATACTTGGCATATGTTCGGTAAAAAAAAGTCGTAATTTCAAACTGCGAATACGTGCAGAGAGCCAGAATTTGGCTCAGGCCTCGAAATTGGGATGTTTGAGATATTTTGAAAACTGCTGGGGGTTTTGGGCAAAATATGACCCACTGCCGCTTTCAGTAATTGGCATATTATTGGTATAAAAAGTCGGAATTTCAAACTGCGAATACGTGCAGAGAGCCAGAATTTGGGTGAAAAATCTTGTTCAGGTCTCAGATTTGCGATATTTCCGATATTCATACTCCCCCACTTTCCCCTTCACTCCCCCATACTACCCCATTTTCCCCCACTTTCCCCCCATACTCTATGTATGAGGAGTGTGGGGGAAAGTGGGGGAGTATGGGGGAAGTGAGGGGGGAAGAGGAGTGAGGGGGGAGGAGGAGTTAGGGGGTAGTAGTGAGGGGTGCGAGTGAAGCGGAGGAGGAGTGCGGGCGTAGGGTGTAGAAGGGAAGAGTGAAGAGGCAGGAGGAAGGGGGAGGAGTGAGAGGGTAATAGGGAGGAATGAGGGGGTAGCAGGGAGGAATGAGAGGGCAGGAGGGAGGAATGAAGAGGTAGGAGGGAAGGCAGGAGTGAGGGAGTAGAAGGGAGTTAGGGGGTATGTAGGAGGGGTAGGTATGACCAGGCTATATTGGTCATGTCATGTCAGAGTTTTGCACGCTGAATGCACAAAGACCGTTTCTTTATTTATTGTTATCACATACCTCATGGGGGAGTGGATAGGCAAACACTCATCCAGTTAAACTTGCCTCGTAGTACTTTCATAGCTCGGTAATTTGTATTCTGGTAAGCAGAATCTCCAAATAAATGGACGTTTAAAGCGCATTCCTATTTGGTTTTAAAAGTTTGTACCGATTGAGAAACTCGGCTTAAATAGTCTAACACCAGAAATGTTATTATTCAGTTTAGTCGCCTAATGGACATACAAGGACTAGACATTACCAGGCATTCCTGTATACCTTACCTTATGCTGTATAACATTGCCACAACCCTGGGTTTTATTGATTTAAATGGCCACAGGGAGTGGTAGAAAATTGCGGGTTATAATGTTATTAGTTTATCTACTGTGGTGACAAGTGGGCTGACTGATGTCCGTTGACACCTGTATCGTGCTTCAGTTTACTCGCCAGATCGTCCTGTCACGGGACTCGTCTGTAGGAAGTATATCAAAATTTCTTGGATCATTAATAGCATAAGACTTGGGGTAGGAGAGGGCTGCAGTGTTTGTCGTGGCCCTCAGTTGTTCCTGGTATTAGTCGACTTAGTTTTAGAAATATTTTTGTTGGCCAGTGTTGAAGTTGTTTGAAAGTAGATGTGTTTTTCTAAAGAGAGTGGGGGTGTCCATGCTTGGATACAGTTATCTAAGTGATAATAGATATCTGGTGTATAAGTGTTTTAACAGTAGAATAACTACCTTTTCCTTAAAGTCAAAATGTCGCTAAATTATTTCAAAAGTTTTGTTAGTGATTGTGATGTTAGTGCAGCAACTTTTGGTTAATGATGGATTCTTGCTCAAAGGTCCTTTATTTCATCGTTCTGCTTCATTTTAATGTTAATGTGGTAGTTGTGATATGGATTGTTTTGGCTCACCTCTAAGGTTTTGCAATGTTAAACGTATATTAAGAAGAATTTGCCAGTCTTTGAACCATTTTTAGAGTTCGTGTAGATCTTTGTAAGGACTCGATATAATAGTTTCATGTTCTTTATACCATAAATCTTGGCGTCATCTGCAAATTTGATGTGGTTTTTAATATTTTAATTTGTTATTGATGTATATAAGGTATAGACCCTTGTGGTATGCCTCCAGTCAAATCTGTTTCGGAGGAACCTTTAATTTCTTTGGTTTAATTAAGCCTTCGTTTTTATCCTTTCTACCATTTATTCTATGTGCCTGGTATTTTATTCCTAGTGTTTCATATGGTGCTTTAGCAAACAACTTGTGTACCAATAGTCTTGTGCGAATAGCTGGTTATCTTTAAAAAAGTTCATTTTTATAACAAACCGTTTGTTGATTTTACAAGACTATGAATGAATCTCCCCTTCAGGACCTTGCAGATGTGAGGTTAAAGTAATCAGAATTTTTCTGCTTGGCAGTTTAAAAAATTTAAGTGACATTTGAAATCCAGATAAAGTTGAGAATAGCTTTGAACCTATATAGTGAGTTTAAGTGGCAATAAGTTTGAATGAAAAGTTCATTTAAGAGCTTAGATTGAATTCCAGGTATCTGAAGTTTTTATAATTTTAGTTTGAAAAGCTCTTCCCATTTATGGTGCTTGTTACAGGCAGTGTATGTATACACTATGTTTAAATAGTTATATTCAGCAGCTTGAAACATTTGTGGTAATGGATTGTCTGGCATGTGAATTTAGTGTTGATTCCAAATATTTGGTAGACATTTCATAGTGCAGCAAATATTAACACAGATTGGACATTTCTAAAGTTTTTTCTTTTCTTAGACTAGTAGAAAATTGTAGTGTTTGGTCTCATTTGATATTGTCCAGCATTAGACAATATTGTTAGCAAGTATGAAAGTTGTAGTTTCCTGTTGAGTTTTAATACATAATCAATGTGATTACTATAATGGGTTAAGGTGTGACATTTAGTAAAGGCACATTAAACTAAATTTAGTTTTTTTTCAATCTTGCCATTGACTTAATGATGTTGCATAGCTTATGTAAAAATTTGATGAGTGGAAGTTTAGCCCATACAGTACATTTGTTTTAGAAGTGAAATTTGGTAGTTATATTGTAAATAATTTCTTTAAAATTTTATTATCAGGTTAATTCAGTTTGGAATGCAAAGTTTTAAAAAGTGGTCAAAATGATTTCAGTTTTGTATGCTTAAGATGCTCATGTGTAAGTTTATAATAGCTTTATGAAGTTTAAGTTCTCATAAACTACATTAGCTTTAGGAAAACTTATAACTCTTATACATGCAGGTTTAAATTAATGCATTATATCAGTTTTCTTTAGATGTCATTGTTAGGAAGACTGCATTAGTAATAAATTTCAAGCAGTTGAATTATAGCTACTTTCAGGATAAAGTACATAAAGTTTCATTAAATGATTTATTAAATAGTATACAATATAACAAGACAATTTTATGCTTCAGGTTGAGACTTCAAAGGCCAAAAAAATGTCCAGAGTACCAAAGACATTATCCACCTGTAAAAGAAAAATAACGAGTGTCCCTGTTCGATATACTAACACCTACCAATTAGCCAATAATTTAACACCTACCAATAATTTTCACTTTAGTAAGTTATTTATAAATTTCAGAAGTTCTTTAGATGTTAGACTTTGCATCAGGAATAATCAGTAATTTCCAGCATGATAGAATCTTTGCTAATTTCAGGATAAAGTACAGTATAAAGTAGTTTCATTAGAATATTTATTGCATAGTATACAGTGTAACATCTAATATTGACTATTGTCCATTTCAGGTTGTGGGAAGCTGCTCCTCCTAGATGCAATCCACTGAAGACTCCAAAAGATCATCAAGGCCAGGGAAAACTCCAGAGTACCAAGGAAATCATCCACCTGTAAAAGAAAAATAAAGTATATCAAACAGGAACACTCATTTTATTAACAAACACCTATCTATAAGCACCAAAACCCCTAAGTCCCAATCTTTTAAGATTGGCTCAGCAAGGCCTACCCCTTACTTGTATTTTGAGGCAGGACTTGTTGGCTGAAGGAGTGCATCACATCTTTTGGTTTAGTGCCCTCAACATGATGTACATAGGCTTTATGTAAAGCCTATGTACATCATGTTCCAGGCACTAAACCTCTGGATGTATCCACTCTTTCAGTGAACAAGCCCTGTAGTTATTAACAATGTTTGCACATTGTTAAGGGTCCCTATGCAATTCTAGTCCATCTATTGGATGGGTAGTAGAGCAGGGCTCTGAAAAAGCCAAGCCAGGGAAATCTGCAGGACTGCCTGGTCCCCTTCTATGAAATGGGGTAGGATCAGTACAAACTGCATCAATCCCTGCAGGTGGTAACAGTAGGACTTTGGTACACATCTATAAATGGACTAGATGAAAAAGAAAGTGAATTAATTATTTGATATAGCTAAAACATGTAATTCAACATACCAGTTTATTGGATGTGTAGAGTAGAATAGCCTCACTGCTTTGGTACCATTGTAATCTTCATTAGCACCTGAAACACATTTAACCAAATTACCTTATAAATTCTGTATTGGGCTAATTTTACTTTAGTCACTTTGAAAATTCACTATGGATAATGTTCATTTAATCTTACAATATTAACATTTTAGTGGATTTTGTCACTAATGCTTATCAAGCAAAAAACTTTGACATTAAACTTAGTTTGAGTAGCCACAAGTACATCAAAGTGGAGAACAATACTTCAGACTTTAATGGCAATTTTTAATTTACATTATCTACATGCAACCATCATTTCAAATTATCTTTACCTATAATGCTAGATTGTTTAACTTTACTGTTTAAAATAATGTTTACCACACACCTTATTCTCAATGTCAAGCATTCAACACTTTCAAACTCCAGGATGTAGTTCTGCACTTCCCAATCCATATTCTGAAAGAAAAAAGTCTATTTAAACTTCAATTATATTAAAAAACATGACAGTTACCAGTTAATAATTTTTTTTACTTGCAGTTATGAACATATCCTTTTAAGTTAAACATTTTGATGAACAAATCCATGAGGGTTCAAACCTATATCCAACTGCAGGAGCCATGAGTAAGTAATCAAAAGGCACCAAACCAGGAATGCTAGAGCCATGAGGTCAGTAGGCCTCCCAGTCATTTCTTTTACCTTGTCATGGCACAGTCAACTATGGTACATGTGCAATCTTCACACATTTGAACCATCACAGCCCTTGTAGATTTGTTCATTTGAGATCACTGTGCAATTTATAGATTGCAAACTTTTAGCCAAATAATTAAAAACCAAACACATTAAGCAAACCAATTACATTTTAAATATTTATATACTTTCAGATTTTATTCCATTTAAGAATTAACACTTTACATTTTAAATTTTCTTTATGCTATTCAAAGCAATTCCTGCAAGGACTAAACTGATATTTTACCCCATTTGTCAAGGCCTAGAACTAGTTTATTTTCCCATGTCAAGGCCCCTTCACAATCACAATTTTTTACCTAAATATTTAAACACTAATTAAACTAATTATATCAGTAAACTTACTTTTGCCAACTAATTCTCACACACAACTGCTATTTTCTGTAGCATAACTTTCACCAATTGTCCTGTACACCATCCCTGAAATTATGTTGGAAGGACCCTCCACAACCTGTCAATGAAACATTAAATATGGTTCAAAAATTGCTGTGCAAAGAAAAGAGAATTATCTTTAAACTTCAATAGTTTCCTTTTTAAAACTACACTAATAAATTAGCTACTTCCCCCACCATCTTTCATTTATAAATTCTAGAATAAAGCCCTTTTAAGTAAAAATTAAAGGCATGCTACTGAAATTTTATTTTCAAACAAATTTATAGTTAGGATCCCCCATATTGGTACAGCAATTGATATAGCTAAAACTAATTCAACATACCAGCTTTAGATGTGCAGAGTAGAACAGCCACACTTCAAGTCAGTCAATGCTTGGATACCATTGTAATCTATAAAAGCATTAAAAACATTTAACCAAATTAGCTTATAAATTCTGTATTGGGCTTATTTTACTTTTGCAAGTTTACACAAATTCACAATAGATAATGTTCCTTTCAAATCTACCAAAATGTTAATATTGTCAGCTTCTCACTAATGCTAATCAAGCAACAAAAATTAGTTTGAGTAGCCATTATCTAAGTTTGAGTACATTAAACTTGAGAAAGATACTTCAGACTCTGGCAATTTTTTCTTTACATTATATGCAATCATTCAGATTATCTTTAGCCATAATGATAGATTTTAACTTTACTATTTAATATAATGCAAATCTGTTTAAAATACTACCACACACCTGATTCTGAATGCCAATCGACACCTTCAAACTCCAGGAATGTAGTTTAGGACTTTCCAATCCATGTTCTGAAAGAAAAAGCCTATTTAAACTTCAGTTATATTATTAAAACATCAAGTACAGGTACCAGTTAATTTGTATTCTGTAACTTTACTTTCAATTATGAAATTATCTTTTTAACTTTTTTAAATTTAGATGAACAAATCCATGAGGTCAGTAGACCTCCCAGTTGCAATTCTTTTACCATGTCATGGCACAGTCAATTAAGGTGCATCTGCAAACTGACATTTGAACAGCCCATTTAGATTGTTCATTTGATGCATCACACTTGTTAAACTTATATACGATACAAACTTCTAGCCAAACAATTAACCGAACTGAAGATTAAGCAGACAAATTTACATTTAAATATACATTTAATTATAAATAAACTCGACTTGAGATTTTATTCAATTTAAGAGTTAACTTTACTTCACAAGTGAAAATTCTTTGCACTATTCAACGCAATTCCTCCAACGACTAAACTGATATTGTACGCCACCTCAAGAACCGTCAGTGTTAAGAGTGTTCAGCGACGAAAGGAAGAGCGATAAAAGGGGTCCCCCTCACTCTAGACAGGCGAGTATGCCTCCCGAAACACCCATGCATTAAAAGAGAAGTCAAAGAATAATCAAGACTGGCAAAAGGTCAGCAGGAAATTATTAGTTGGAAATGAGAAGAGGGGTTAGAAAATTGAAACTAAAAGTGAAAAAGTTAAAATGTCTAGCAAAATTGGTGAAGACAGCAACAGGAGCACAAGGCCTCCAAATGACAGGACTGACCCCATGGAGCATCATTCCAGTAGCTGCCCACCAAGCCCACCCCCCCCCCCTCCCTCATGACAAGCCAGAAAGGGTTTGGGACCTCATTTAGTAGACAACTTGCCATGACTAATATCTACAGGATGGGCAGTGACAATATACAACATTAATGTTCTATTAACATTTTCAACTTTTAGCTTACATACACCTACATTAAGTACCCCAATATACCTTTACTTTGGTAAAGACTTCCTACAATGCCTTCAATACTTTAAAATCGACGTTGCCGACTATTAGAAATGGGCAATTTATAAGAATTACATTTCAACTACCTTCAAAACGAACATTTGCTATAACAAAGTACTTCTAAAATTAATATAACCACCCTGTCACCAAGCTATAATCCTTATTATTCTCATTAACAATATAAACTGGTATTTATAAATAAAAATATTAACAGTATTATAAGTATACAGTGTTTATAATAAGTATTATTATGTTCTGCCCGAAACGCTGCGCGTGCTAGTGGCTTTACAAGACTAATTACCATAATTGTATCCTCACATTCCTTATGTACATTCTTGTATATGCATAAATAAATAAATAAATATTACAAGTGTACAGTATTATAACTACAATATTTGCCAAAACATTTATTCAACTTTCAGGCTTCAATGCAACAGGAATCCATCTTATCACAATGTGGAGCAGTGATTATTTCTTCAATCCCATGCACCACACTATGGCTTAAACAACTACATCAAAGTGTGGGGGAAAAATTACCTTGCATCACCTTGTTGCTCATAAGGAAGGTCAACTGCCCATGACACCCATAAATTTATGATCTAGTAATGCAAGTCTTAGTCTCAAGACAGATGGTGCCAAGAATATTAAGTATTCTAAAACGGCCAAAAAGCTTGTTTTAATAAACTTGGAGAACAGCTCTCATACCATGATTCATCACAATTTACAATAAGTGACATCAACACAAGAGGCCATAACCAAAGTTGTAAGCTACTACCAACAAATACATTTCAATACATTACAGGGGTCATTGCAGAAAATGCATCTCCACCTGTCAAGAGAAAATCTAAATTAATAAATTTATGTATACTTTACTTTTAATTTCTATTAACTTTAAAATTATGCACTTTAGCAGTTTATGAATATTAAAGTAACTATAACAAGTTATTAGAAAACTTTAGAAATGTACAATAAAAACTAATTTGCACCAAATTTAACCAATAGGCAAGTATACAAATCTATAATTACCATATTAAATTACTGACCATGCAAGGAAAAGTTACAAGAATCTAGTAACAATGCACTGATCAATATCATTTAACAGCTGGTGCCATTGTGTGCAATGAACATTTTACCACTATTTCTATTATGCAACATACTAGCTAAAAAATATACTAAACTATCATCAAGGACAAGTTACACATTCCCATTTTCCTCATACAATGCATAACCTAAGACCCACCTATGTACTTTCTTGACAATAGCATATGGACTTCATAGTAGAGACTATTTAGCCTGTATATCGAGTAGAGAATTACAGTGGCCAGTCTCCCATAACAAGCAATATACGTTTACCTGCTAACAAATTAATACAGCATCCCAGAGCTTGGGTGTCACCTCATGACTTTCAAATTGCCCTTTTTATATCTATTCCAATAGGTATGGCCACTGTTCATCAACTTTTTGGAAATATTCACTCACTCACATTCTAACATCCAACAAGATTCTGGACCATGATTATTAAACTGCAGTACCACACATTTTACAC